GCCACCAGGGACCGCCACAAACACAAGTGGAGGATTGAAACCGGAACGTGGCGCACTTAACTGGGATCTCCGGGGAACGCGTGACTCTCTACGAACCAGTGAAGTGTTGAGTCGACAAACAAACAAGGTGTGATTACAGGGGTGGAAGCGTAGGCGTGTGATGGGCGGGGGCAGGGGAGGGTGATGCTGACGTGTGCTCAGAAAGATGTCCCAAGATTGTATGTATTTGCGTTTGTGGTTGGATTGGATTTCAGTTGCTAATTTGGGAATAGTATTATATTTACTTGTTTATTTACGTTCTTTATTTAACCTCTTTATGTCATATGTCCAAATTAACTGATATTTAAATTGAATAAAATGTCATACAATACTAAATCCAGAGTAAACACAAAAAGTATCCAAACAGGTATACAGATAGAACAAACAAGTATTTTGTATTTCTTTAGCGCCTCTGTGCCGCTCATGCAAACAGGATTTCTGTTGTATTTTATACTGAACACATACCCCGCCACCACTATGGATAATCTCAAAAGTAATTGGGTTTTTCTTTCATGTTACCCCATTAATCCGTCTAGTAGTATATAAAGGAGATTATGTTTTTACTATTGCCTAGCTTTACTCAGATTGTACCATATTCGATTTGTTCGTACCATTTGTCATGTTTATCCTCAGAAGTTGACATGGAAAAGTAAATTGGTGTCTAAAGAGGCTGTGAAGTTGCCAGTTCAAGGATATATCCTTATGATATAATGTAAAAGAAATTTTGTATCTTCTTCTCCGCAGAATGGGGTTTCCCGCACAAACCAGTATAGTGTTGGAGAAGGAATGCACTCTGAGTTATGTATTAAAGAAAGAGTTTAATGGCATAATCAGAATACATCAAGTCCAATTCAGGCTTACGGCACGGTGGCTGAGTGGATAGCACTCTCGCCTCTCAGCAAGAAGGTCCTGGGTTCGAATCCCGGCCGGACCAGGGCCTTTCTGAGTGGAGTTTGTATGTTCTCCCCGTGTCTGCGTAGGTATCCTCCGGGTACTCCGGTTTCCCCTACCACTAAAAATATGTACAATAGGTCTGGCATGCGTCTCCTGTTCGGCGACCCCGCTCCCATCTCTGTGTGGAGTGAGAGGACAATTGCCCAAAAATAACAATTGTAAACCGCTTTGTGACTCTAGTCTGTGAAAGGCGGTATATAAATAAAGATTACTTACTTACTTACTTACTTACTAGTGCTTTCAGCCTGGGTCAGCTCCGAGAATGATGATGGCATGACTGACCCCTAACACAGAGAGGACTAGAATCTTATAGATTGTTGAAGAAGTCATAAGACACAGTCACAAGATCCAGTAAAAGCAAACCATACATTAAGGACAGCCATGTGCATTGTCCTAACATTACTGCTGCTCACATGTCTGCCTCATGACTGAGAAAGGGATCATTAGAGTCAGCTGCTTCTACCATTTTGACCCAAATGTTCCCAACACATTTTGAAGATACATGCTGTATCTGTAGGAGTTACAATAGCAGATACTACAAAATCTAGATCATTGTCAAAATCATCCACCTCTCACTACTCCAACTATTGTTCATCCATTGAAAAAATATTGTAAAGGGCGTTTTGTGAGTGCACATTTGCCAACAAATATCCCCATTAATCAAAGACTAAACTTCCTCATGGAGCATTCCAACATAGACACACAAACTCATTTTTACAATAAAACATGGCAGCCCTTCATGCAGTACGAAGAATGACTCCCCATACACTCACAAACCAAGACTCTGTATTCCTTTAGGGGGAGCTCCATGCAACTCCATGCAACAAAGTCACATTCTTTCTAATTTTAGTGATCAGAGCCATTCATCGCAATAACATCAGCATGTTATTGCTATTGTTAGAATACAAAGTAGGTGCAATTTGGCCACTGGAATGATCCTTTAGGGATGTTGAAAGGCTTTTTGGGCTAGAGCTGGAATTGGCCTGTGAGGATTCTGCCCAAACCTCAGCCTGACTACTTTTTTCAAGCCTGAACCCGGCAAGAACCACTGCTCATATTCTTCAATATGCGCTTCCCTATTCATCTTGTTTCCCTTGGATAAACATAATGCGCGTCAGTAGCTTATCAAACCTGTCTGTGCGGATGTGATCACTTCACCTCTTCATCTGTATGATACATTTCCTCCAGGTCCAGCCTTCGCTTTTGCCTCTGAGTGCGTCAGGTATATTCCTTTGTCAAACCATTAGTAAACATTAATTTGCTATTTGTTCTTGTGCAGTTCACCTATTTTTTTTTCATAGAATCCAATCCTATTTTTAAGACCAGAGCCAAGAAAATAATTTATGCTCATATGCCGCACATACCTGACCCGAGTGGGATCCTTAAAATGAGGCCCGGCCTGGACCCATCGGGACTCGTCAGGTCCCATTGGGCTCAGACCCCAATTTTCATCTTTAGTTTTGTCACACACAAACAGATATCCCTTGCTTTTATAGATGGTTTAATGAATGTGATGAACTTTCAACATTTCACCATTTTCACCTGCCCCGACAAAACTAAAAAGAAAAAGAAAAATGGTTTGGACTGATTCATCGTGCCAGAGCACAATGATGCAAAGACAGCTCAACACTCAACACACAGCTTTTCTGACAAAAGGCCAATGCTTCAGTTCAACCGCACAAATTAGGTGAAAGCACATCAGATGCTGCAATGTCTCCAAAGTGACTTCCCGCGGTAATGACCCACAGCCCCGCCGGCTTCCCCCGGGGTGCTCGCATGTGGCTACGTATTCATGTTGTGGTTTGCCTACAGCAGTTCTCTGGACCTGGGCGCGCTGGGAATGCGGCTGGCGGTGCATCAAAGAGCCCAGAGCATGGACAGCCTGCTAATCGGATCCCAGGGTCACACGGATGCACCTCTGCACGTACATTTATTCCAGATACAAGCAAACCCCCTCCTCTGCCCGTGTCAACTGAGCAGTCTGATTAATACTCAATACAATTTATTTTTGTAGAGCCCTGAATCTTCTCTCTCACTGTTTGTTTTTGTAATGCAAAATTATTTTATTAATCAATAAGTTGGACGATTATTCTTCTGATTAATCGATTAGTTTGTGTGTACGTAGTGTGCACTTATGTATAAAGTGGAAATAATTAGGACTGTTTAATGCAAGTTTTATATGTTTACTTTTATAATTTGTTTGCACCATGAGACAACGCAAATTCCTAGTTTGTGACCTGTTACTTACAATAGCGATAAAAATAGTTTTGATTATGATAGATTTTTTTTAGATGTAAAAAAAAATCCTGATTGATGTCCCTGTAGCACTTTATTACAAATAGTCTGCAAACACAATTTAATTTAATTCGTTCAGAGTCATAAGTCAAATCAAGTCTTTTTATTTGTATTTTTTTTCTATTTTTCTTTTTTCCTACAATGGAAACTACAAAAAGTTTAAAATGAATATAAAAAAACAATAATCATTTTATCAAGATGAATCATGGATTCACTTGTTACAGGCCTGAATTCATTTGAACACTGGACCCCATTAGGTATAGACCTACGTCTATAAATGTCCTGGATCATCACTGTCCTAAGACCTTTGTGCGTCAGCGAGGAAAAACTTATAACCCAGTGTGAAAAACATGAGAGACCTTCATACAGAAGTGCTATATTTGATTATCTCCTTGTCAAAAGCGAAGCAGTGGAATGTTTGTAGACTCTAATCAGTGAAAGGCGATTTATTTGTAGCAGCGGTGGTTAAAGTAGCATTTATTTTCAAGCTTGTTGCTGTTTGTCATTGTGTAGCCGTCATTACGGGAGCACAAAGCTGTCAGTGTTGTTTAAGATCAGCCCACTTGTCCATAGGGAGTTTGCCGAGGCTGAGAAGATGATGCTCCCACATATCCTTCCAATGCAAATGATACAGTTACCGCTGCAAGATTTAGTACCTATAGGATGAACGTTTATTGTTTAAATAGAGCAGTGTCTCCCAAAGTGGGGTCCGCGGCCCCCTGGTGGGCCGCGAGGGTACTGCAGGGGGGCCGCGGGAGGTCATAAAAAAATATATATAATTATTTAATGTTAAATGTATAATGTTTTGTTTGTAATATTAAAATATTTGTGTTCATTATTTGACTTGAATAATCCACTGTAATCATTTTTGTATTACAATGTTTGTAGCAGAGGCTATTTCCCCAAAATAAAATAACCAGAAGAGCCTATTCTTAATGTTGTCTTCTTGGTTATTATTTTGGGGGGCCACGCAGACCCGTCAGATTTTTAAGGGGGCCTCGGTGTTACTGAGTTTGGGAATGGCTGAAATAGAGTAATAAAATGAGTGCCGACCTGGAAGTTTACAAGTAATAATGTGTCTTCAGAAAATCCTGGCTTTTAGCTGTCAAAACAGTTATATATAAAAACATTTTTGGTCCACATGAAAACCTGCAGCATATATTCAAGTATGTCCTGTAGCTGGACAAAATTACTTAAATATTATTTTTCTGCATTGCAATTGCCATATTTCAGAGCTGCACTCCGTCAATAATGTAACAGTGGCCCTTACCACCGTTGAATTTAATCTATTTTTTTCACACGGAGCAAAGTTATTTTTTTCTACCGCTATCAAACGTAGCCAAGTGATCTTCAATATTAAAGATTCAATGTGTCATTATTAACCTTCTTTTATACCTGAAATCTCCACAGTTAATATGTCCATCCAAGTTTTACACTTTTTTTCTTTCCAATTACATTTTTCACAAGTGATAATAGCCTGCCCCTAAATGCGTTTCCTTTGCCTGTACTCCTCTGACAGCTCTAAAATTGAATTAACACTCATTTTTCAACTCGCATGTTATTCCTATTGCACATGTCTAAAAGGGCACATAATTAAATCACTCCACAGGCTATTTACGCAGTGCACGACTGGAGGCTGACACTGTATTTCATTCAATCCACTGCAATTCTCTATCACTGAGACTGTAATTTGCCCTTTTCCTCCCCTGCAGCCCGTTGACTTTGAAATGAACCGGGCCTTCATGCTGACCGTCGTCGTGTCCAACCAGGCGCATTTGGCCAGCGGGATCCAGTCGTCACTCCAGTCCACCGCGGGGGTCACCATCTCGGTCCAGGACGTCAACGAACCCCCGTATTTCCCCACCAACCCCAAACACATTCGCTTTGAGGAGGGGGTCCCCGCTGGTACCCGGCTGGAGACCTTCTCGGCCTCTGATCCCGACAGGCTACAGATGCAGCAGATCATCAGGTTGGTTTTGTGTATATGTGTGGGTGTTTCAGTTTGATTCATGAGTGGAGACGATGTGTGGAAAAACAGCTGAACACTTTTTAACTCACCTGTGCTGGATAACAGCATTTTCCTTAGCTTCCTTGTTTGGATAGGCATCTTTTTAGGTATATTGGTTCTTGCTGACACCCCCGCAACTGCTTCTCTGTGAGCTCCGCCTTGTTAGCGTCAGTAAGTTGAATTTGAATTGCACAGTTCTAAAGAGTAGCGCCCTAAGTGTGCTTCTGATTTCCCTTGACTTTCCCTTTTCTCCAAATGAACCAAGCTGGAAGGATCTCAAATTCTGTTTTTAATAACCTTACATGAGGTGGTGGATGGATGTAGAGATTTATCTAATTCACTCACAATTATTTTATGCGTCATATCTGAATTTACAAAGACAAATGTAAACACCTCTATGAGCCTCATAGAGTTGTTCAAGCCCAAAATGAAGAGTGTGACACAAACGGTTAAATATCTAGAGGAGTTTATCTTTCGATGTTTGTTGATAGGAGCCATTGTGATCAAAATGTCAGCAATGAGCACTACCCTTTTGGGCTTAGCATCATCCATCTATATACAGTCTATGCTCCACACACACACACACTTCCTCCAGCTCATCCAGGGGAATTCTGAGGCTTTCCCAGGCCAGCTGAGAGACAAAGTCTGTCGACTTTGTTCTGGGCCTTCCTTGGGGAATATTCCACTCGTTATTAGCTAAATGCTATCAAAAGCATAATTGTGCTCATTTACACAAACATGTTTTAATGAAAAAAGATAGACATCCTTGATGATAAGGCTTCATCCAACCACTAACTACGGGGGAAAAATCCATGTTTTGCTGTGAAAAATGCATACTGCCATTTTTACATTCGCAACGTTATCTGTGATACTTCAATGCTTGGTGTCAAAGGTCGACACGGCGGCTCCATGTTGCCCTCACCCTTGTCTTAACATCTTGCACTTTGTTTATGAGCTTCAGAGGAGAACTGTGAGTCAGGAGGCTAAGCAGGTTAATGCAGAGTGCTGGCCCTTGGGGTAATCTATGGCTTGTGTATGCTGTGGGCTGGATGAGCGCTGCAGTGATGGTGGGAGAGAGGAGAGAGGCCGATAGAGGAATAGAAAGCTCTGTATACGGGGCCGGTGTGTTGGCAGGCGCTCAGAAGTCTGACGCAGCGTTCTGTCCTCCTGCACTGATCTTTTCTGTGCTAAGCCTCACCAGGTTTTCAGTGGAAACCGACACTTCAATGGCTTTTTCCGAGGAAAGACTGTCTGCTTGGCTCCGTTACACTGTACCTGGGTGAACAGTTCATGGGTTCACAGAACATCCAGGCTTTGACTGTTAGACACACAATATTGTATCTGCAATATTTACTACTATCCACCAGTGCAAGGTGGGCCAGTACAGATATATCACATATGATTATTACTGCATTTGGAGCAGGAGAGGCTATTGATTCTCAATTAGAGCTTTGCTTACAGCAATTCGGGGCTGGGCTCCTCAGTTTTGTAGCTGTATTAAAAACCTGCCTGCTCCAGCTGCCGTGTTGTTAAGTGTCAGCCAAAGATTTCCTTGTTTTGTATTTAGGATAATGTGAATTATAATGTTTACTTTACTTTCAAGCCATGTATTATCAAATAAACGTGTTTTCTATTTTCAAATTGTAACTTCATTAAACTGCTCTGGGGAGATAGCAAATGTGCAGTTCATGCAACTGCAATGGCCAAGTTCAGTTTAAGCTGAAGAGTTCCAAAGCTTTGCCCATTGAAAATAAAAGACAGTTTGATTCTATTAGTTTGGGCTAATAATCTCACTAAGTTGTGAACAATTCCTTGCTAATGCAGGAGGGTCTGAGGACCTTGATGATCTGGGACATTTATGGACATTGATGGTCATTCTGCTCCCCATGGACCAATGGCTCCTATGTGTTCCTATGTTCAAACTGTTTCATTCTTTGCTCTGTTGTTAGTGATTAGACAACTTTGTAAAGTCCTCCGAGACGACTGCTGTTGTGATTTAGGCCTTTAGGCCTTTAGTCATTTGATCAATTGATGGTGTCTTAGTCGATTTGTTAGCTAATGCTCTATTACATTTACACGTAATTCTGTGGGAACATAGTAACAAATCAAAATCCGTAGAGCATCACGTATCTTTTTATTTATTTTTATATTCAAGTCAGATCCAAGTCCCTAGTCTAATTGATACCATATTCCTAGCAATGTTTTCTTGTGACTTTACGCCTAGAGTTGTTTGACTTAACTTGACATTATGTATAAGACCATACATAATGCAAAGTTTTGAGAGCTTTAGGCAACTTATTGATCAAAATCACAGGGAATGCCTTTAGTCATCCATAAATGCCTTTGGTCGACTCCAGCCTTAGAAGCTACTTCATTGTTTAGATTCAAGGCTTTTTGACCAGAATCTGTCGAGAAGTGTCAGTGCATTCACAAGTTAAAGTGGCTACAGGGCAAGAACACAGTCTGGACTCTTTGAACTTAAACGCATTAAACCGAAAATATAGTATAAGCTAAGCAGACATGGCGGTGAAATGTAAAAGTCTGTTGGATAGACACTGTTTACACCTGTGCGAGTGAAATGACCCGGAGCTGCAGATGGAGAGGTAGCACCGGGAGTCAAGGTCTGATCCTGACCTTGACCTCCGGTCAAGGTCAGGATCAGACCTTGATCCAGACCACGCTCTTTGATAAGCACCTGTCTGGCTACAGGGCAAGAACACAGTCTGGACTCTTTGAACTTAAACGCATTAAACCGAAAATATAGTATAAGCTAAGCAGACATGGCGGTGAAATGTAAAAGTCTGTTGGATAGACACTGTTTACACCTGTGCGAGTGAAATGACCCGGAGCTGCAGATGGAGAGGTAGCACCGGAGGTCAAGGTCTGATCCTGACAGGTGCTTATCAAAGAGCGTGGGTCCTGGTGGGAGCGAGGGGGAGACCTTGTGGATCGGAAAGAGATGCTTGCAAATATCGGGGGAAAAAGCCGCCAGACCGACCGAGGCTTCATGCATCAGCTGTCAGACACCAACGAGTGAGGTCAAGACTGGAGACTGGAGACACTGGCATAAATGATTACCCCAGCGCCCAGCCTAAGCTTGAGACATGCATTTTTCATCCTCAGGGTCGGGGGTTTGAAAAATAAATGTCAGTGCTCTTCCCGCTGCTGCTAAGATCACTAACCTGCCGGTCCTAATCATACACCCAGCTGTACGCGCACACCACCCATCTCCCAAATGAGCCAGACTGGAAGGCGAAGGAAAGCATTCTCAATAAGCTAGTCAGGTTTGGTAGAACATTTCTACCTACTTCAGTCTTTAGTGGAGTTTTAATGCACGGGGAGCATCTGGGTAAACAAAAACTGTCTCCAAGAGAACGGAAATTGGCAGAGCGCTTTGTTAAAAAGTTTGGTAATGAGGGAAGGAGAGGGAATTTTGGCAATTTGTGATTTGTAGGCAGCGGTATACAAAAATAATACTGGGAGTGGTGTTGAAATAGTAAATAACCCAATAAGCCCCAATGACATGCAAGCACTTATTTTGCTATCTCCAAACCCAGAAAACGTGGACAGAGCCTTCTGCGATAATGAAATGTTGCTAGTTAAGGATTCTAAAGCAATTAATGCATGTATTACTCTGACGGAATGCACTTATGGCGTTATATTGGATGGTAGAGATGGCATATGGCAGCAATAACAACCACTGTTTTTTTAACAAGCTGTACTCACATTTGCAGTTCGGTTCAACAATATTGAAAATCAGAGTCTGTTTTATAGTGTAAGTTAGTTTACAGTGATACAACCATTAAAAGCTCATTTATTATGTCATTATTGACTTAATCACATATTAAATTATCACTGTAGCTATAGCTATATCATAAGTCGTATAGCTATATATATAAGTCATATGTCGGGCGGCACGGTGGCTGAGTGGATAGCACTCTCGCCTCTCAACAAGTAGGTCCTGGGTTCGAATCCCGGCCGGACCAGGGCCTTTCTGAGTGGAGTTTGCATGTTCTCCCCGTGTCTGCGTAGGTTTCCTCCGGGTACTCCGGTTTCCCCTACCACTAAAAATATGTACAATAGGTCTGGCATGCGCCTCCTGTTCGGCGACCCCGCTCCCATCTCTGTGTGGAGTGAGTGGACAAGTGCCCAAAAATAACAATTGTGAACCGCTTTGTGACTCTGGTCTGTGAAAGGCGGTATATAAATAAAGCTTACTTACTTACTAAGGAAAAATTACATTTTTTTAAATTATGTTCTTTACAATCACAAGCTGTGTTTGCAGCTGTGGAACAACCACATACAGTGTTGTTAATATTGTATGTGACTAACTAAATATCTCTATGTTTCTGTCTGTCTGTCTGTCTATCGATCTATTTTTCTTGCCTTCCCTCTAGTGGTGGCATAGAAGTTGATAGCAATATTTCTAAAACATGACACATCATGTGGCCAAAAATAATATTTCTTCTTTCATTTTTCCCGTTTCCCTGTGGACCACGCTGTTTCGAAGCGTTTGTCTTCTGTCCACGGTGACCACAAAGCCCGTCGGCTCATTCACTCCTCCAGAGTTTTATTACAGTGTCGGTGAGGAGAAGTGTTCAGGAGACTTAATTAAAGAAAGTATTGGACGGAGAAGCTTTAGGAGCGGACCTTTGTGTTTTTTCCATGCAGCAGCTGCGTTATCGCGGCCTGCACCCGGGGAAAGAAAAGGTCCCTCTCAGTTTTACGGCCTGTTCTAGAGCCGGCTCTCTCATTTACATTTAGACTCACTGCTGCTGCTACTGTCTGTTTGACTCCTGGGTTATGAAGCCGTGTTTGGACAATCAGGAGTTAGTGTATAGTGTATAGGGCGTTTAGTTACAGTGTGCAGATACTGTAAACCTCGAAGGCAGGACAATGAAGGATTACTTATACTGTCTCTTTAATATGCTAAATTGATTTTTTTGAGCTTTTAACCATGTAGCAACATTATTCCTTTGTCAAAAACAGATCTGGAGTTGGTTTTAGATCTACCCAAGCTAATCAGGAACCTATGGTACAAACATGTAACTCCGCCCATCCTGTCTAAAAGCTCCTGTCTCACTCTCTTTTGTTCAACTTCATAGTAATAAACTATGAAGTTGCACAAAACATCTCACAAAAGCTGTTTTGTGAGCCTGCAACGGGTCAGAAGGATTTGATTTAAATGTCCCACAGTGGGAATATTTCAGTGTTATCACCAGTTACAGAACAGTAGCAATGAGATATTTGCATTTTTGTTGTGTGGCTTGGAAGTTTGGCACCCAGGTCTAAATAGGTAAAAACTATGGAAAAGGTATTCCTTACTCTATACTAATCCAATTTAACTTGTGGCACAGGAACAAACTCAGGACCTCCCAACAATCTAATTTACTACAAAAAGTGGTCAAATACAATAAAATACAATACAATACAATGTATTCTTGTATAGCTCTAGGTCACAACAGAAGTCATCTCAGAGGACTTAACAAAACCATTGAAATCACCAACACAGGTCAGAGAATCAACAGTTAAAACACATGAAAAATATAAAGCACACACAGAAGAAAATGTCCATACATGTTGTAGAATGCTAAAGTGTCCTGATCATCATCAATCCTTTCTGTTGGACACTAACTGTCCAACAAGACCCTCCTGCATCGACAAGGGAACAACTCTTAAAAAACCCAGCGGGAAAAAGTGAGAAACCTTGGGGAGAACTAGGGAAACCCACAGGGAGGGAGACCCATTTGGGCAAGGGATCCGCTCCCCCGGACGGACAGGCTAATGATCTAGGACCTAAGCTAGCTACAGAACGTGGACCCGTGGCCGCTGAACGTGGACAAAATATCAGGCAGTAAGTTCTTGACGCAAGTTTTTTGCCAATGGGACAAACAAAAACATTTCAGGTACAGTAGAAATGTGTTCTCCTTTCAAGTGGAAATGTTCTTGTCTCTTTGAAGACCCATTGGCAAAAGTTGTTTTTAGTAAATGTTTTCAGCCTTAAAATAAGATAAACCGAAGCAAATAATTCCAGAGCACATCTGAAAATACACCCCTTGGGAAAAATAAGTTAGCCTTGCTCAATCCATTACCATTAAAAAGGATATATAAAAATTATATGACAGAGGAAATAACATGCATCTGAAAGCTAGTGACAGGAACAAACTGTTTTAAGCGCTAGAAGCAAGTCAGATGGAAATGCATACATACCTATCTGCAGGGGTGCACATAACTTTTTCAGTGAGGTACTCAGATGAGTACCAGGAGTTGGTGTTTGGTACTCACTCCATTTGTTGTGTGGTTCTTAATCGAGATTTTATACTTGCTTCTTTTTAATGCTTTAGTTTAGATCAGCTCAGATAATCCACTCAATCCAAGTTAAATAATGACTCAAAGGGCTCTTTCTTAAAAATGCAAAACAAAATCAAAACAATGTTACTTTTGAGCACAACCAACATTTTTATGCATTATTAATGCAAGGGAAAATTTAGGTACCACAGCTTTAATTTGGAGACACGGGGAGGGTGTGGACACTCCCTTAAGGCTCCATAGTCCAGCTCTGTTTCTTGCAGTAACGCAATATGTATTTATTTATTTTGCGTTACACACACAAACCCACCAGGAAATAGTGTCCTGGTCCGATCCTCGCGCACAGGCCCAGAGGAGCGCGACAGACCGGTAAATGTGTGTGTAAATGTATGCTTGAATCCTTTGGCGAACTACTAGAGAATAGATGCTGCGTGCGGATGTTACGTATGAATGGAACGCGGAAAAAAGGGTGCGGGAGTGTGGAATGCCGTTTGTGTGTGCGTGCCAGTGTGTGCGTGCCGGTGTGTGTGTGGCACGTGCGGCATGAAAGTCAGCCTTTAGTATAATACTATATTTGAGCACGTTGCTAGAGACGGACCGCTCCGTCACACTGGCATTGCACCACACTCCCCCAGGGAGGAGCGCCTGTTTGAGAAGGACTGGTCTATGAAGTACGCAAAGGCGCTTACTAACTCAAGTGATAGTACGAATTTCTGATATTTGGCGTGCATGCGTACCTGCGCACCACTTATGTGCACCCCTGTCTATATAAGACTCTATTGAGTCTACTCTATTGATATAAGACTCTTTTCCACCTAATATTGATATATATTTCCTCACTGCTATTGCAGTAGACATTGAGCCAGTTCTAATTGCAGTACTAAACCAGATCACACAAACCCACTGCTTCCCCCCCAGCTCGATGGTCTCTCCTCTTCACCGTTTCATCCCCTCTCCCACTGGGCCAGACCCTCTGTAGTCCCGCTGCTGATTTCACACCTCCTTATGTGAACGCAGCTCGAGTGTGGGAATGTCATCCGTGTGATCCCGTTCCCTGCTTCGGATCATGCCCGCGGCCTGCTGAGAAAAGCCCTCCTTCTTTTCTGCTGGAGGGAGATTATTCCGTGTGTCCACCACCACCTCGCTATCCAAACCCCCCCCCCCCACCCCCACCCCAAACCCCCCAACGTCAAAGCAGCCTGACAGGTCTGCAATGGGATTCAGCCCGAGCCAAAAAAATCCGCAATGTGCTGTTTAATTGAACCACAATAAACGTGTGGGGGCTGGGCTCAGGGTATTAGTGCAGTAATTCAATAAATATAAGAGTGTGGTCAAAAACTCAAATCCATTTCTATTTGGAACGATTTGAAAGCAGAGAGAGAGAAAGCAGAAGCCAAGAATTGTGGCCTTGTGGTTTGAACTGAAATTGAGTCAATGAAAATGTAAGCCCTGAGGTCGGCTGTCCATAGGCGGAATTACAGCAAGAATACAAAATGTTGCCGTCCATTTCTTTGTTTTGTGGAGAGTGGAAGTGGATGTCTTTTATGTATCCGAAAAATCGTTCAGACAGAACATTGTGCACTAGAATTCTTAAAAATACCAGCCAAAAGAAATCGATAGAATGCAGAGTGCTACAAAGATAAAAGATGGAGTGGCTTCTCAAGAAACAAGTTGTTATGATTACAGCTTTTAGAAGCATAGTAATGCAGTATAATGGTTGTTGACATTACTGCACCTTCATCAAATACATTTAATACAGTGTAAATCAGTTGACATTGATGGACTTTCTCAACATTTACGGTCTCATCGACATTCAACCACATTAATGGACTTTTATCAAAATGCTTAGACATTAGTCATCTGCCCCTTATGGACCAATGGCTCTATGGGTTTTTTAGCTGTGCTTATGAGTTGTATATTTTGAGTTTTCTGTTGTTGTTTTTTAATTATTGTTTTACCATATGTGTTAAATAATGCTTGAAAATGTGTAAGGTGTTATGTCTTTGTATTCACAATTCATGCAGTGCAACCTAAAGTGCTTTATAGTCATTAAATGCCTTTATATATTGTTTAACCTACCCTGTTATTGTAAAAACATGGACTTGTCACAGGTATTTGTTGGATGAGAAGACAGTGACAGTGAGAAACGACCGCAATAATGGAACAAGCTAGAGTCTGCGAGGAGGTTATCAGATAAAATAAACACTAGTGATGTTTGCCATTGGCTCAGATAGGCTTTCAATCCTGCAGATCATCCCGTGTTCCCTTTGCTCCGTCCCCAATCACTTTGTAGATCCATCCAAGCTACCCCATAGTCTGCAAGAAGACATTTGCCAAAGCATGCCAAGTAATAAACAAATGTAAGCATATCGGCCTGGGGTAGAAAGTGTGCATGCGGCGCACATCGACAGCTGCAGCAGTGCTTAACAACACAAGTAATTGACTTCAAGGCCCGGAACACAGGAGTGAGAAATGAGGTGAAATTGACTGTAGACTGCAGGCTCCGCACAAAGACTCAATGAAGAATTAAACAGTGTGAAGGTCAGACTGCAATGGTTTTCTCCAAATGAATGCGAACTAGCTGTGTGGGTTTCATGTAGTATAGCTTTAACAACGTGGACGTAGAGGCGGCGTGTGTACGAGTATTGATCTGTTGTTGTTTCGGTTGCACTGTTTTTCCCAGGTATACAAAGCTGAATGACCCGGCGAACTGGCTGTCGATCAACAGGACCAACGGGCAGATCGTGACCACAGCCATTCTCGACCGGGAGTCCAGTTATGTGAAGAATAACATCTACGAAGCCACATTCTTGGCAACAGACAATGGTGAGTTTCATTAAAGGGCTGCTCTCTGCTTTCTGCTGAGGTCCAGGTGTTTTCAGTATGGGTTGAGCTTTGTTGCTGAATCGCGGTCGACTTCTTTGCAGTCATACGAGCCATAAACCACACATACATACACACACAGACTTAAGGCTGGGTGCCGGTGAAGCCAGATTATACTATAAGATGTAAAGTTGTGCCTTTGAGCTTACTTACCTTGGTGCTGTTTTTGTTGTCTTATTTGCAGGAAATTTGAGTGGAAATTAGATAAGAGATAAGATAAGATATACTTTATTGATCTCACAAAGGAGAAATTTACATGTCATGGATAGAAACACTCAAGATTGTGCAAAAAGAAAGAAATGTGAAAACATGTTAAATGCAGGATATTATGTACAATAAAAAAGTGTCGATTTAAAAAGTGGCAATCAGAAACAGTGTCAATAGTAGTGCAGGTTTTTCAGTCTTAATACAGTGACTTAAAGTGACTTGTTGTACAGTCTGACAGCAGTAAGTTTGTGTATAAGGCTGGGTGATGCATTGTAATTTTGGCATCACAAGTTGACGTGTTTGTTTCAGTTACCTAATGTCACTGCAGTTCTGTGATCTAACTATTCATGACAAAAAGACAATAATAAATGGAAGCGAAACCATTTACAAGCACAGCGGTAGTTGTATGGATGGTCTTTAGTTTGCATACACACTAGTTGAAGGGTTTTTGACTGGCACACTGACTATGGACTTTCTCTTTTAATATCTGCTGATCCTGATCCTCTCAAAACACTGCTAACATTTTACAAAGTTTGTCTAATTGTGGCTTTAAACTAGTATCCATCCTTTATTTAACTGTCTGTTGAGTGAGTCACTTAAACGACATGTATAATAGATGAACCCAAGAACTATTGATGTTTTAAATGATCAATAAATCCATCATACAAGCTAGATCACACAGCTTCTTTCTAGTTTACAGCGTGCTTCTCATGCGGCGTGTGTATACTACAACATCATATAACCGCCAATAAAACATGACAGTTTATTTTATTTAAAGTGAGAATAAAAATGTGCCTTGTGTGCACACCAGCGTTTATTTCATAGTATTTTACAGTGTAGGCACGGTTTGTGACAGCTGCAGCACCGCTCAGAACAGATTTTATATCTATCAACATCTATAGACATTGGTCATCTGCCCCTATGGACCTATCACCTTTGTGTTTTTTTCATCATTGCATTTCCCATTGTTTGAAAAGTTTTATTCTCTGATCTGTGTTGACGAATCCACAACTTTATAAAGTGCTCCGAGATAACTGCTGTTGTGATTTAGGGCTATACAAAAATAATTGAATTAAATAGAACCGAGGTGGTTAGAAAAGTATACAAAGTGTGTGGTGAGGTGTTTTACCAGTTTAAAACATATAGCTGCAACTTTAAGGATTTCACTTATTGCGGTTTATTTTTAGAACGTAGCTCAGGGACCAGAAACCACTGTATATAAATTATATATGAAACAAAAAAGTTTGTTTGATGTAAAAGTCAGCTTCTATTTGCTTTTATTTCAGTTAGTTTTTGCCTTTCTCAAGTGAAACCACGCTCCTGCTTAAATGGCCTTATCAGCGACAAGCAGTGTCCTGTGTTTACCTGAAGTGAGAACACTGTGGACTTTATGTGAAAAGCGTTTGGACAGGTTTGTGTGCAGCGTGGTTAATGCTGGGGCATCAGGAGGCTGTCACGGCGCCTCCTAGTGACTGATGGAGGTGAAGGAGGAGGAGGAGGATTAAAAGACTGACGTGTTGTTCTTGTTTTTCAGTCAAGGCCCGCGGGCCTTGACTTTGACACATGTGGTCTAGACTGAGACTAGTCTCTCTTCCACCGACACTGCAGCAATTTCGGTTGATGAACCAGCCAGCTGCTCCAAGGAGTCAACATTTATGTTGCCAGTTTTCCATATCGCTATAAGCTCAAAGTTCAAAGGACATGAAAAAAGTAGCACCATGTATGCCAGAAATTACGCTATTCATAAAAATCTTTCTTAGACAAAGCTCTTTCTGTTGGGACACACAACATGTATTTATGAAACAACAAAGTTAGGTACTGCAGCTTTAATGTGTGATACAGAGAGAACTATCCAGACAAGTGTATGACAGAATGTATACAGCAATAAAATCCCAGATACGTCACCACACGTACAGCTTTGTACATACTGTAGTTTCTGATATTGACTTACACTGTCGGCTTCTCACAAGCTTCTCTCCGTGTCTGCTACGGAATCATCCGGGCTCCGTGGGTGACGCCAGAGTGCCAGGCTTCATAACAGGAGACAGATTAGGCTAAGACTTGCTGTGAGAGGGTGAGCCGAGACCAAGACAAGCTGTGACAGTCATGCACATAGACTTGGACTTCATTCTGTCAAAACACCTCTCCGAACAACTCGCTTTGCCGTCCGACACCTTTATGTCATTGTTTTTTTTGTTGTGTTTCTCGCGAGGTTAGGGATTCAGGAGCCACCCGCTGAACAGAGGAGCTAATGCGGGGCCTTTTGAGGAATTTACACAAACATAATTATTTATTTAGCCAGTTAAAGCCCACATAATTCTCCTATCAGTCAGAACAAGCTGCTTCCACATGCTCCCCGTGCATGGCTGGATTAAAGAGGATGGCAGGAGCTCAGGGTGGTTCTGGAATGTGCGTGCTGAGCTGAGGTGAATGTAGCGGTCAAGAGTGAGGACTGACCTCAACATACAGTACATGTGATGCAGTGCAGTACTTTCTGGACTGTTAAGTGCACCAGTATATGCAGGAGGGTCGAAGGACAGTGGTGATGATCCAGGACACTCAACATTTATGGACTTCGGTCTTCTGCCCCTTATGGACCAATGGCTCTGTGTTTTTTTATCGTTGCCTTTCCCGTGTGTGAACTGTTTTTTTATGTAACTTTGTTGGCGAATTGTAAAGTATTCGGAAATAACTATACTGTTGTGATTTATGGATTTAGAAAAGAAAAATATTGAATTGAATTGAATATATAAGCCACACCAGCAACATTTTGAAAGAATATACATGTTCCACATACACGCCACGCTTGAATATAAGCTGCAGGTTCATATTGTAATGTAGTGAGTAGCTGATCCAAACAAAGACGATGTTTTAACTTCTCACATGATTTAATGACGAGGTGTTTAGCTTTAACGTTAGCTTCCATGGCTCATTCAACACATTTTTGACAAATTAAAAATAGTGTCCTAGTTACTAAAACTAGATGGAGTAGAAATAACTCCAGATGGAGTGCTGCTCTGCTCTGACAGTGACCAACAACGGTATCACAATAAAAATGTTTTTAAAAAGTATGCAAGGCAAGTTTATTCGTATGGCACAATTCATACACAATGCAACTCAAAGTGCTGAACAAAATAAGAAAGCATTAAAATCATAAATAATCACAGTACATTAAAGAGATAAAGATAAAAATATAAAATCCATCAGTTGTATGCACAGATAAACAGAACTGTTTTTAACCTGGTTTTAAACATTGTCAGAGAGGAGGCCTGTCTCACATCTTTGTTGGATGTGAGACAGACAGTAAGATTTTAAGTGGCGGCTTAAAGTCCAGAAATTACGGTATGTCATTCATGTATCACCTCTCGACAAGAGCCAGGGACAGGTGGTTAGATGACGTGTGCTGCTGCAGTACATACTGTATATTAGGGCTGAACGATAAAAATGGACCAAATTGCATCTCAAGATGCCTGAATATGGATACAATGCAAAAAACGCTTAATTTTTCCAGCTCTCCATATATCTGGATATTGATACAATAAATTGTTCAGCCCTCGAATATATGATCGCATAGTGTGTAATATATGATATTACTGTTCCAAAGTTTTTGAGTGCTGAGGCAAAGTTACGAGACGCCTTTGAAAGCATACCAAGGCCTGGAGCCTTGTGAGTCTTCTCTGCGGGGCGCACGGAGAAGGGACCAAAATGTGTCCGACTTGTTTAAAAATCACACTGAACAGACTGCGGTTTTTGAATGTACTCTGTATTCTGCATGAATCGCTCTAAAAGAGCTCTGAGTGTGTAAAAGACAAGGGAAAACAACTAAAACAAAGTCAATGTTGCATATTACATCCGCTTTTAGTACATTAACTGGCTGAACCAAGATACAGAAGTTTCTTTTGGGTTTTAATAATGCCACCCTTTCCCTAAAGCAGGGGTCTCCAACCTGTAGCTCGGGAGATACCAGTAGCTCACAACCCCCTTCCAAGGAGCTCACCAAAGGATTTGGTGAGCTCCTTTAGTTTAAATTACATAATACTGTATGCAAAATATTCCAATGTATGATTCCATGTCCACAACCTTTGTAAATTAACTTATACATTGAAGATAATGACTATTGATGGTTAGAGTACATAATCTCTCACTGTTCAATTTAAATTCCCAGACGCTTGGATGGAGTACCTGAAGCTGTGATATCTGATACTTTAGTCCTGAGAAAGTCACAAGGTGAATTAGGTTGGAGACCCCTGCCCTAAAGCATTTAGAACTACCCTATCATTACTAAAGGGCTGTATGTTACCAAACTAATTGATTATTGAAATAGTTGTCAACCAATTCAGTAATCATTTAATCGTTTTCTGAACCTCAGACTTCATTATGCCGTGAAGATAATTATACAATCACTGCAGAATTAAATAAAAACAGTCTAACAAGGCATCTTCAGAGGCATCTTCAGAGGCATCACACAAGCTTTGTTTTGGTCACATATTAGAAAAAAATATGAAAATCCGATATTCACTGACCTTTCAATTTCAACATATCGTGATTTACAGCCGGAAACTTTTTCAATCCTCTCACTGAAGTATGTGGAACATGCCCACACCCTCCTCCTCTTTGTCTTGCTCTTATTGTGGCTATATGTCTTGCTCCATTGCGGGGTTTAATTGGCAGATCCGTCAGCTTTGCATAAATCTTTGTAAACGACACGGGCCTTATCTGAGCTCTGGCTGGCTGGCTGTTCGGTCCTGGGGTTCTTACTCCTATCCGATGTCTGGGGCGCTGAGGCGTGACACGGAAATGACTTGTAATTGGAGGCAGCTAAGGGTCGTCACCCGCACTGACACACACTCGATAAACAGCTCTAAGCTCAATTCTGCTCCGGGCTCATCTCATTCAAACTCCAATCTGATGCATTTTCTCTCTCACAAACGTCCATTGGCCAACATCGCAGTCTGGCTGTCTGATTGTTTAAAGCGTCAATACAGATGGTCTGGAACACGGTGGTGGATATTACACTAGTGAATGTGCTGGGACGGCTCAGGGACAGCGGCACATCCTCTCTCATCTTAAACCATTTGCCAACACTTAGTGCACCGGAGCTTGAAAGGCATGAAAGCACTGGTGTCATTAAACTTGCACTTTAAATAGCTATCGCAACGTGGACAAATGTATAACCAATCATTTAGGCTTGGAGCCCGGTTAGCTATTCAGTCCAAACCAGGCCTTTAGAGCAGAGACATATGATCCCAAATGGTCTTCTTGAGTTTTTAACAATGTCACAACAATGTTCCAGCATCAGAAATACCTGGAGCTGTTTTTAGATAATTTTAGATGTTGATAATTTGGGGGAAATGTCGGTGTTGCATCACAAGTTACAAACGAGTAGGAGTGGGAAGCACACAACAGATAAGTGAATATTAAGTATAGCAAAACAATATACTTCCAGAAGAAAAGAAAAAAAAAGGAAATCTCTATCTTCAGCTGCGAAACTGCTAACGACTCTAATAGTGCAAGAAACAATTTTTCTGTAGATAAATCTGTAATACACTCGTAATCTGTATACACTCGCGTAAATGACTTATTACTTCAAGAATACTGATGTAAAACGTCATTACTCTGAGCGTTCAAATATTCACAGTAATGATACTACTGTACATGTAGCAGCACAGTGGACATTATTGCACAGATGCATGGCATGTTGGGTCGGCAGTGTTCATCAGTCTCCATTGTTCATTGCACGTCCGGCTGTATAGAAGGAAACAATCTGGGTAACATTTAAAAGGAAGATATTATTTATTTTGAAAAATCAAAGTTGTAAGTAGGGGTGGGATTCCTATTTTGGACATCGATTGTTTTTTTATTTTGCATAATCAATGTTCAATTGATTATGCAATGTAATGTGCAATTACATTGCTTTTGTTTTGTTTTTCTCATCTCAAATGTCCAAAGAAAAACATTCATTCAAAGAAAAACATTAATTCAAAAACATTATGATATTTTGACTGAACAAAAAGGCTTGACATGTGTTACTTTTCATGTAGTGAGTCTTTATCATGTACAGTGGGCCTTTTCTGTGACGCGGTTACACCATTGAGGTATACCTGAATATTACAGTCATTTCTCATCTTTTTAAGTGGGTGACAATTGGTGGCTGACTTAATACTTGTCACCCCACTGTACATGTTTGTGCCCAAATCTCTTGAGATTAGAATCTAAAAACAACTGTTTGTTTTGGACAAGGGAACAGTGTTGTAAGTTTAAAAATGTCTCCTTGTAGAGTGTTCAGGCCATGGGCAATACTCACTTGCTGCTTGAATGTAGAATGGCATAGCTACAGTGCCTCCACAAGAAGAAAACATCCATTGAAGCAATGACATGCTTTCACTCACAATGCCTTTGGCTGTCATATTGCACACAATCTATAAATCAGATCAATTTCTCTGCATAAGAGGCAGTTGTACCTATTTCCATTTACATTAATTTAACGTTGCACTGAAAACTTTCCGCAACTTTCCGCCACTGAATGAAACCTCACCTCGGGTTATGTAAATAATTATCCAAAGGTCCTTGAGAATCAGTAGCGGAGCGCAACATGTCAACATCTGCACAAAGCTGCCAGTTCCTCGGCAAAGCCTATTGAAAAGGTGCACTCGACCTTTCGAAAATGTGGGATGCTTAATATCGCATTCAGGCAGGCTTTTTCAAACGCAAACAAAGATACCTCTAGTTGTATTGTGCGAATTTGCGGTGACAAGGACTTGTTTGATTGTGTTACGGCGCAGATGAGCCCTCTCCAGGTGATTGGGGCGCTGAGTGTGTATGGAGCCTGATGGGTTCTGATGTGGCGTGAGGGTGAAAGAGGAGTCGTGGATGCGAGCGCTGTCAGATGTGTTTTTGTCGAGGGCGCAGGCTCTTCCACCGAGCTCTGCACAATAAACATTTCTCTTTTGGCTGATTTTCCATGTCTGGCTTAAGTTACTTCTTTTGTGTGCGCGGTCTTTCAGCACCCGTTTGAGAGACAAGTCCCGTTATTTTATGTTTAATTCTTGAACTTATTTTAGAGGACACATATTACGCAAGTTTTTTAGCAGGTTACAGCTTTCTCATCCATAACCAACAGTTCCATTCAACTTCTAACACAGCACTTCTTTGACTCAGGACCACTTTGTACCATAGTGGCTAAGTGGGACCGCTCTACCGTTCACATAAACACACTGGAATGCAGGAATGTGAGCTTCATCATCAGCTCTTGATATATACAGCTGGGACCACTGTATATGATTTAGACTCCTTAACTGAAAAGTGACAAATCCCAAGCCTTTGTTTGTTAGCAAGTGTTTTTTTTCCCCCCACATGGTCTGGAAGTGAATTCGGGAAGTCTAACACAGGGCTAGCAAGTAAATATGGAGTCTGGGAGCCGTCTGTTGATTCAGGGGAGGTTTAGTTTACGTTTGCCGTTAATCTGCACAAACCGTATCAATTCTACCCAATAACGTACGTTGCGGAACTAGTATTCAAGAAATGAACATCTATATCAAGTGCTGTACATGTTTTAACATGGAATTATTTCCAATACAAAACAATGGAATGAAAAAGTGAAGATTGTATTCTCAGGATTGTGATTAAGGCCCATGGTGTTTGCTCGTCAAAAGTATTCTCCATGTCTCTTCTGGTTTTTGCCACATTTTTGTCCAGCTAGTTCCTAGTGTCGTATGATGTTGGCCAAGATGAACGACCAGAGCTGCTTTGATAATGCATAATGTCCATTTTATTCTACTACAACCAACTAGAATAAGAAATCACCATTCCACTCGACCAACCAACTCAGTAGTTCATGTCTTCTTCTTAACAAAGATAACAGCATCATACAATCCTTTAATGCACAAGTTTGTTTTTTTGCTTGCAATGGTGCATTGTATATTAAGTTGTTGGTTTTAAACTTAGAAAACCTTCAATATCTTCAAGGTTTGTTGTTTATTATGGATTATGTGTTCTTTGAGGAATAAATTACGATTGCAAATAATGGATACTTCATGTTTTTGCTAAATGTTCCCACACATTTATTGTCCAGCCAGCCTCCGCCATGCGAAATTATGATCTCAAAGTTTTACGAGGGTCCGCCATCCATGCCAAGTATGCAAATGGCTGCAACAAGAACGCTTTCTTGCGGTGACCTGAAACCAAAGCTGATTTTTCTCTGTTCTCCAGGGTACCCTCCAGCCAGCGGGACAGGGACACTGCAGATTTACTTGATTGACATCAACGACAACCCACCAGCGCTCATTCCCAAAGAGTCCCAGCTGTGTGAGAGGACGAGCCGGACCACCCACGGGGTCAACATCACTGGGGCCGACGCGGACACCGACCCCAACGCCGGGCCCTTCGTGTTCGAACTGCCCAGCTCTCCCAGCAGCATCCGACGCAACTGGACCATCACCAGGATCAGCGGTAAATCAATTCGATTCAATCTATTTGAATAATAAAGTCTGTGGTGAGGGGTTTTTCAGCATTAAAACAGTTACTATATGGATTTAGCTTGTTACAGGTTGTTTTTAGACTGAACCCCCGCAATAAACAAGGGGGCCACTGTACATGCCTTGTCTTTCAAAAGGTTGTACCAAAATATGTAAAATCAAAAAAATCTCAATTTACACTATTCTAAAATATTGCCTCGTGCGTTAATGTGATGATCGAAGGGTTTAGATGTTCGGCGTCTCGCTTCTGTCATCACCGTGTGTGGAGTTAATGGATAATATCTCTACTCAACATTGTGATACGCTTTAAGTGACATTTGTCTGTGAAATGCGCTATTTAAATCAAGAGAATGACTTTTGAATAATACATCGACCTTTTCTTACATATTACTTCACTTTCTTCAGGTTAATTGAGTGACATCGTTTTTTTTTCCACAATTGAGTCTTTTGATAAGAGGTGGATTGTAAATTAATAAAAAATGACAACAGCTTGAGTCAGGATCATTGCTGGAGTTCATAACGCCTACAATTCCATTCTCTTTGTGCCGCTGACCTCTCCATGTCTCCTCCACAGGTGACTACGCACGCCTGGGCCTGCGGTACCAGGTCTATCTGGAACCCGGGTTCTACGAAGTCCCCATCATCGTGTCGGACTCGGGGAACCCTCCTCTGTCCAACCGCTCCGTCATCAAAGTCAAAGTGTGCCCCTGCGACGAGCACGGGGACTGCACCACGCTGGGGGCTGTGGCAGCTGCGGGACTGGGCACCGGAGCCATCATCTCCATCCTCATCTGCATCATCATCCTCCTCAGTCAGTATTTACCTCAGGATCTTCTGGCACAGACACACTCCTCCTGTCTTAAACTTTTAATGCATTTTGGGTTGCTCTTGACATGATTTTATACTACTAAGCAGCATTGATCATAAAGGATAATATGGGTTGGCTGTGTGCATGGACTGAGTTGTTGAGATCCCCGCCTTCCATGAATCCCTCTGCAGGTGTTTAGTCCTCAGGAGGGGGGAGGGGCATGTCGTCCTTTCTGCTGAACCTGGCTGGGGCCGTGGGCAAAAACCCCGCCACCAATCAGGCTCGGGCGACATCACGGCCCTCATTTGGACCATGCTTTTGTCTGACTCGTCACCTCGGACGTGTTTGCCATGGGAGACCCTACCAGGGGCACAAAGCTCCAGCCAACATAGTTCAGTTCAGTTTGTTTAGATTGTTTCATTGCGCTCAGAGCGATACATACAGTTGATACAATAAAAAAGACATTGTTGGTTTAAGTGGTATAAAGAGCTCAAAAGAAGTTGGCAGAAGTAAAAAATACATATAAACGCCTACACATCCATGAACATAGCTCCTGGGATCATCCGTGCACCCAAACTCCGGAGGAGAATTTTGCTTTACAATGATGTGCAAGATGCCACAGTTGTCCATTTTAACTTCATACTATACTACTGTAAAGGTAAACCCAAAATACTTCTTTGTACTAAAACTAGTGGAATTTTCACCTTTTTGGGATTTGCTCAGAATTCCATTGATCAAAATGGAGAGTTCTTGTAGTTTCAGTTTCAGTGTAGTGTTGAGCCACATAAACCCTGTCAATGCTCAAGTATTTCCAATTACTGTGTTTATTGCCACACACAATCAGTCTCTCTCTGTCCAAAGCATCAGAATCTCTAAAGACATTCCTTTTGATTATTACAAGGATTAAATACTTCGACCAATACTACTTTTCTTCAATAGACTAACATTGGTACATTCCACTGCGCCATTTTGATGGTGGTATAGATTGTGTGTTTGGCTGCGGTACCATCCTCGTGGCTTTGGATGTGGCTGGGTTTTCTCCTTTTCCTTTCCTCTCAGGGTAAATACAGATTGTGCTGCCAATAATTCCTTCTGCTCGCTTCCAACTGTTGCAGCCGAAAGTATTGGTGATATATTTTCAGTTAAATATGAAGAAACTGGCTTGGACTTGTCTGTGTGGAACAGCCATTGACCCCAGTCATATATTGGTCCTATATTTAAGCTGTACAGTTTTACATCAAGTGAACAATGTACACACGTAGTGAATGTTTGTGTGTGTTAATCAATGTTGTTAAAGCTGGGGTACCTAACTTTCAAACCACAAAACAGTTAACTGCAAAAAAATCCATCTAACTCGTTCCTCGCTTTGATAACAGTTTGGTCTTGTAGTTTTCACATGTTTGGTTCAGCTTTTTCAGACAGAAAAGTGCAAAAGAAAGGACTACCATTTGTCAGTCAATAAGCTCTCTGCCCAAAGCGTCTCATAGTGACTCACAGGGATAAGTACGCTAAAGATTTTTCCGAGTAAGATGAAGGCAGCATGTTGTGGTCTGATTTTCATTCAATTGAGTTTATTTTAGTAAATCCCTCAATCACAGCCGTCTCGTTACAAAGTTGTCATTCACCAACAACAGATCAGTTACGCCCCCCTAGCTTTCACTTTTCCACCAAAGGATTACTTGCCGTGTGGTGAAGAGAAGGACCCAAAGAGCAAGAATTTAAAAAAAATAATGATTTCACGAGGATGATAAAGTAAAAGTCCAAGGTAAAAACGAGTCTAAATCCAAATGGAACCCAGAACATAGACATGAACAGACCGAGACAATGGACCGGGCTAGCTCCCTCGTTTTTACTTAAATAGACAAAACGGGGAAGACATGAATTGATATTATCTTATTTTGTGTGTGGTTTTTCCAGGTATGGTCTTGTTATTTGTGGTGTGGATCAAGCGCAGAGAAAAAGAAAGACAAACCAAACAGCTGCTGATCGACCCAGAGGACGACGTGAGAGACAACATCCTCAAATACGATGAAGAGGGAGGAGGCGAGGAAGACCAGGTAGGACTACAGGCGAGAGAGACATGGGACAGAACTCTCAATCCTGTCTCATATAAAAGTCAGAATCAAATCCTGTTCCATCAACATCAAACCCACTCATACTTTTACTCTACATTATTCTAAAGCAATTGACTTTTGAAATAGATAGAGAGAGTACTTTTGGTGCTGGATAAATGAAACATATGTGTATTGTACATGATGGGGAAGGTCCTGGGTTCGAATCCCAATCGGAACAGGGTCTTTCTAAGTGGAGTTTGCATGTTTACAGGGTGTCTGCATAGGTTTCTTCCAAGTGCTCCGGTTTCCCCTACCACTAAAAACATGCATAATAGGTGAAAATCTTCCACCTCTAGTCCTGACCAAGCCAAGGATCAACATCCGGACAAATTGCCCTACGGGAATATTTTAAAGTCTACATAACCTTAACAGGCACATTTGATGCAGGCATTGGCATGTTTGTACAGTAGTATCTGAATTTCCCACATTTTTGCGTAAAATCAATATTAGATATGATATGATCTTTCTCAAAATCACACCGATGAAAAAACAGTGTCTGCTTTACCTAAAACCACCCAAACATTAATATAATATTATAAATGAAGATAATATGCCAAAAATGACAGAAGGGGGAGGAATGAGTAACGTCATTGTAAAATCGAATGAGGAACCTAAGGAAGCTTTTTTTTTTTTAAACGTAAGTCAGGTTTATGTCCCATCCCAGAAGAGCTGCTTAAAACTGCTCTTCCCAGTAGATAAAACTTGGTAAGATATTCAACGTATGAAGCGGTCACTTTTTGATGTGGCGCCCTCTTTCTACACAGTGCGCTTTGTGTTGCCCTGTGTAAGAAAGGCGCTCTACAAATAAAGATTGATTAATCATTCGTCAAGTTCCTCCCCTCATATTAAATTGTATTCTGTGATTTATCCTGTAAAATTGTCAGTCTCTACTTCAACATATTCACAGCCTTTTTCCCATTAATTCATCTGTGTGTGTGTGTTTTGTGTGTGTCCAGGACTACGACCTGAGCCAGCTCCAGCAGCCCGACTCTCTGGAGCACATCATCAGTAAGCCCCCTGGTGTCCGGAGGGTGGACGAGCGGCCCATCATCCCAGAGTCCCAGTTCCCCATCAGACCAGTGGTGCCACACCCGGGAGACATCGGGGACTTTATACATGAGGTGAGCTTGGTCTCTGATCTCACTCACATTATACACTATACTTTTAGTTAAATCTTTGAACAGTCAAATCTGTGAAAATCAACTTCTCATACAGTGAATAATGTTACTTGTTTGTTCGTTCGTCTTATAATACATAGATAAGTAAATGTACAAAGAGAAATTATGCCCAAAAGGAGTAGGCCAAAAGGACAATTATTGATACTAGTTGTCAGAAGTTAGGGGCACATTATTTGCACATGATTTTCTGACCATGAGATCTTGATTGTAAGATAGGGTAAGATAGACCTTTATTTGTCCCACAGTGCAAAAATATCATTGTCATCGCTGCACACATTACAGCAGACGTATACCCCAATGCACTGCATGGACATGGACTGAGTTTTCCTAAGGATTGCAAAAATAAAGTGAGGTAATCCAGCTTTAATATCCTGTTCACTGAGCTCCGGAAATACATTTTTGTACATTTCTGTTTTCATACTGAGTGCTCTTAATTAAAACTCTAAAACGCCTATTCCGACTCAGCCATGTGTTTGTGAAACTGAACCCCTCAATGTGGCCCCAAATTATCTCCTATTGCAAATCCAAGATCAAACTCCCGACGTTCCATATTTTCTGAGAGTGTCCGGAGTGTGCCGCAGCTGCCTCTTGCCACACTGGGCATCAGCGGAGGTGTCTGGGCTCCAACGCTGACACTCGATGCAAATTTACACTGGGGCCATAAGCTCCCCTTCCCTTTCAATCGCATCACTTTGCCTTTTCTCCTGCCAACTCCGGCCCGGGTGTCACTTCCACTGTGTATTGATCTGACACCAATCTGATTACCCATCTCGCAGCGGTGTGTTGTGTGTGTAAACCCCGGGCCACTGGAGAGAGTTTGCTTTACTTTGCTGTCATGCTGCTTGCCCTCACTCCTCTCTATGTCTCTCACTGTGGCGCCGGTAAAGCTCGGGAAATGCTGATTGACAAACTCGTGACAACGCATTCACACTCGAGAGGGCTTGGCATCTGTTCAGCTTTGATCCAACGACTCCCTCTCTTTTTCTCTTATACTCTTTCACACAAACACACACATATATATTTTTATCTTTGGCGTTGTTTTGCTGTTAAAAATACAAGCGCTTTAAACAAATGCTTTCGATGCCACCCACAGCACCCTTGGGGGCTCCAACTTGTACTGCCAGATCCGTGGATCATTGTTTTTTTTATTTCAAGTGAGTAAAGTCCATTCTATTTTCAAAGGAGAAGAGTGGGCAGTGAGCATCGCCAGTCCCGTATGCTAAAGCATTCATTCAATAAAAGGCATTGCTCTCATGGCATGCCAGGAAATATATTCTAAAATAAATGCGCACTGGTCTGTGTATGTTGGCATAAAGTGAGAGCCTGGTGAATGTTTTAAAGATTAAGATAAAGCCACTAAAGCTCCGATGTCCACAATTATTTACATAGCACATTATGGAGTCGCTATCTCCAAAAAGCAGATGGTGAATCCTCATCCGCTAATACGAGAGGGAACTCGAATGCTTTTCACCAGACATGGATTATGCAGGTGCTGGACCGTCGTACTATTGTATGAAAAGGGGGAAGACAAAAAATATGTTTAAGGTTTTTGGATATTTTGTATCATTATCTCTATCTTGATTATAGGTGAATATTGTTCAAAAGTAAAAATGTAGTTCTGTAACACAACTCACACTGTGACACTAATTTATGACAGACTTATCGCTAACAGGAGTGAGATCAAGTGTGTATGTGTTTTAATGTTGATAATTGGCTCACAGCTGTAGAGACACCACACAGAACATGATAATGGCTTCGCATATATCACTTTATAATTCATCACTAGATAACTTTACAATGATCACTTCACACTTCTATCACTTTATTTCACCTTGGAGAGACCCATGAGGAAAACGCATTAGACTTATTGATTTAAGCATGTTTATTGATTGAGCATGTTTGGCGCCCTAGGCCCGGGCGGGATGCTGTTGAGCACGGCGCTTGCTCGCGTGCATGATCCCCCCGGGGCCTAGGCACTGGTGACGGCAGAGGCAAGCACGCTTCATGAGAGAAGGAGGAGGTGGGGCGGCGGCTTGCAGACTTCAGAAGACCGGGAAGTGGGCGTCTCCGGCTTTTAACTTGCTGTCCTGGTGGTTATTGGTTGACTGGGTGTGGGCGTTGCTGGTATTGATGAGTCGAGGAAGAACAGCCTGTGGCCTGGCAGCAGCAGCCGGGTCTACCACGGTGAACTTTCGCGAAAGCTCCATTTCACCTTGGAGAGACCCATGAGGAAAACGCATTAGACTTATTGATTTAAGCATGTTTATTGATTGAGCATGTTTGGCGCCCTAGGCCCGGGCGGGATGCTGTTGAGCACGGCGCTTGCTCGCGTGCATGATCCCCAAAAAGCGGGCCTGCGATTGTGATAGCAGGACGTACTGCGCGTGCCTGAGAGCATGAGCGAGCTGAGAACATGCGCGCACACGCATGTTCAGCCAGACGCTGTAGCAGGGGAATCTTTGAGCGAGCTGAGAACATGCGCGCACGCGCATGCTCAGCCAGCCGCTGTAGCAGGGGAATCTTTGAGCGAGCTGAGAACATGCGCGCACGCGCATGTTCAGCCAGACGCTGCAGCAAGGGGAGTTTTTGAGCGAGCTGTGAATGTGAGATGCGCGCTCACATTCGCCAGACGCTGAGCAGAAGGATCTTTAAGCGAGCTGAGAACATGCGCGCACGCGCATGTTCAGCCAGCCGCTGTAGCAGGGGAATCTTTGAGCGAGCTGAGAACATGCGCGCACGCGCATGTTCAGCCAGACGCTGCAGCAGAGGAATCTTTGAGCGTTTGAGGAAAGTGCGTGCCGCCACCAGAATCTTATTGCTTACTTGCTTTGCTGGGAGCTTACAAGGAAGCCGGTAGACGTTGTGCTGCCATGATAGCGGTCGCATCTGGCCTGATGTAGGTGGAGAAGCCGAAGAGGACCAGCGCCCCAGCTCAGGGACGTGCGGTGAGGTTTGTGATTGGGGAGGCACTGACTTTAAAAGTCAGATTTACAATCATTATTCAAATAAAATAGCATTTAATCACCAATGCAATGACATCCACAAACTTTATATACTGTAAAGATAAGAGAACCAGCTTCTTTTAATAATCTCACAACAAATCTAGCTGCTGACTCTGCTCCGCATCAAACAACATCTTTAAGAAGCGCAGGTGCGAGAGACGCGAGGAGAGAGAGACGCGAGGAGAGAGGAGCAGAGAGAGACAGAGAGGAGCAGAGAGACGGAGACGCGAGGAGCAGAGAGAGACGGAGACGCGAGGAGAGAGAGACGCGAGGAGAGAGGAGCAGAGAGAGACAGAGAGGAGCAGAGAGACGGAGACGCGAGGAGCAGAGAGAGACGGAGACGCGAGGAGAGAGAGACGCGAGGAGAGAGGAGCAGAGAGAGACAGAGAGGAGCAGAGAGAGACAGAGAGGAGCAGAGAGACGGAGACGCGAGGAGCAGAGAGAGACGGAGACGCGAGGAGAGAGAGACGCGAGGAGAGAGAGACGCGAGGAACATAAACAATAATTTAAACAAGTTGCAGAACTCTTGAGCAGTGTTTGAATCAGTGTTTTTCGGAAAAGCACTACTTTGCCGGTATCTGTCAATGTTCAACATAAAACACAGATTAACAAACTCCTCCCCCGCAGCCGGACTAACCTCGTAAGTCCAGTGGTGGTCTCCCAGTCTATATTAATTCTTTCTTTGTTTGAAAGTCCAATTGAGAAAAAAACCTTCATTCAAATCATCCATTTTCCAGCAAAAGAAATAGCATTTTGGGCTGATTGTTTGTTAGCAACTCTGGTATGAACTTTATGCTCACTATCACCCCTAGCGGTGAGGCACAGATACCGCCTGCCTCACGCCAAGCTTTTTCCTTGTGTGTTCATCTACGATCAAAAGACTTAAACTAAATATAAATTGTACACACATACGTGCAATACACTACTAAACACTAAGAGGAGTTTAAAAAATGTTTTTAAAGCAGGATATTTGAAACAAACGGTGATATATCAACTGCACGAGCTGAGTGCACTCAGACACACACACACACACTGTGAGGGAGCGGTCTGGGGTGAGGCACGCAGGAGCGCTGCCTCACCTCGTCTCTTTGAATAGGAATAACGGGATTTCGGCGATTTTGACTTCAGAAATGATCAAAACTGATGGGAACCGTGCCGAATATACATTAAAAGCATAGGACAGTGGATATAAATTATATATTTAAACTAAAATAATTATTAGTTTCCAATAATGGCAGGTGAGGCTCTGCCTCCCCTGCCTCCCCTGACTGCACGTCCCTGCCCCAGCTGTTGCAGAGAAGAGTGGGGGAGCCCCAGCGAGGTCGCGCGCGTGGCAGCGCCTATCCTGAAGGAGTGGGCTGTATAGAGCTGGGGAGACAAATTGCAGAGGAGCAGTAGGGATCTTAGCTGAGCTCTGAACCAGGTTGCTGTTATGGGAAGGTTGACTGGAGTGAGAATTAGAGGTCCGTTAAAATCTCCTTTTTGCCGCGGAGGCGAGTGTAACGCATCATGGACCTGTAGGGGCAGAGAGATGTGTCGAAGCGAGCTATTATTGTGTTGCAGGCGCCTCTGATCTTTGAATGTTTGAGATGAAGGTTGAATGGTCAGGGGACATTATGTTGGGTGAGAAGAGCGACCTTTGTTTAATGCTTCCACTACGTCGAGATGATCACGCATGACAGAGATCCTCTTTCTCTGCCGCGTGTGATTCCGCAGCGCGCAGGCCACGACCACTGGGAATGTCTCGTGTAGGGCAGAGGAAATGCTCCGGGGAAAAGTAGCGGGCCACGGCCGGCGAACCACTGGTCCTGGAAGAATCCCCCAAAAACCCACGGAAGGGGCAGCGTCCGTGTAGAAGCGGAGACCTGTAGGGGCAGAGAGACACACCGGAGAGGGCCATTGATGTTGCAGGCGCCCTTACGCTTAGAATCTTGGGTTGGA